CAGGAAGTAATACAGCCCTCATCTCAAAGGGATCCTGGAGAAAAGACATATTACATCCACATAGACAAGGCTCTCTTGAAAATGGACATCTAACATAACTGGACTAGTACTAAATGATGTGGGAAAATCAGTGTACATTTGTAGAAACAAAATTATATTTAAAATGTTGGGTGATTCCATAAGGGATGAGCAATATGATATTTAAATTGAATTGAAATACCACTTTGTAAAAATGTAATACATTGCTATAGTTAGATTTACAAGAAGAGATATTCAGAGGACACAAAACAATTTGTAGCAACTACAGGTTCATGCAGCTAAAGAAACCACTACCCAAAAGACTTTGAGGATGTTTCATGCTTGTCCATGTGATTATGTCCCTCCCACTTCAGCGCTACACGTGGTGCCCATGTTGTTTCTGAATCTTTTTCAAGCCACCTTAGAAAGTGAAAAAATATTTTAAAAATCAACAGTTCTTGGCTATAGTGATATCATCCAGTGCTGTAAGCAAGTGAGTTTAGAGCTAGCGAGAACAGCCACATTACAGGAAAAAATGAATCATTTCACCAGATGTTACAAATGTCTAGAGCTTTTCCTTACCTGCCTCCTGTCCCTCTGAGACGATGATGAAGAGGAGGCACTTCTATGTGATGGAGTAGATGTTTTGTGAGCTGGTGATATACTCTTCTCCTCTGAACTCATCTTTGCAGCAAACTCGTAGTAATGATCTTGTGCTCTTATCACTCATGTACAAAAAGGCAAGGGGTAGTCTTCTGCATCCTTCTGTTTCACAGTTTATGGGCAGCCAAAGAGAAATTCAATCTCAGCTGAACTGCACCTTAATAATGAAAAATGTGAGAGAGTGAATGAATACACCTTCACTCCAAAGTAGCTCTGCAGAAAAGAAATCTGTTGACAGTCACTATTTAATCTGACAGATAACCCAGTTTTTTTACTTTTCTTCCTAACAACTACCCTGTAGAAACATACATTGTTCTGCATTCTCACAGAAGATGAAAGTGGTATTACATTATTTCAAAAACCCCTATGGAAAGGCTTAAGGAACTTACTGCAATTCTCAGACAAAGTTTACAGATCCTTCATGGGATTATGTTGCATAATATCCTAACATTATCAAGTAACTCCTTAGGACTTCCTGTACAACACAAACACTACTGAACACTCTGTTGTAATCAGTACTTCTTAAAAATCTTGCAGTTAGATTCAGGACTCTGCAAGTTGGTTTCTGAAAGCAGATCCCTCTTTCAAAGGTAGTGGCCTCACTGAAGGAGTGGACAACTCGATGTCACAAATCAGCACCTTTCAGATGGTGCAGAGTTCACCACACACTCATGTCTTGTTCTCAAAGATGACTGAAAGAGAATACAAAATGTTTCAACCAGAAGACACTTTCAGCCACAAGACTGTGGCCAGGGGGTATTAATTTTCATCTGGACCAAACTTCAGGATATTTGTCAAATCCCAGGTCCAAAAAAAAATGTGTACTGATGAAGGCATGAGCTACCCAGGGCCTTAGATACTCGGGGCTGCCACACTGGGTGCAGTGTTCAGGCTCAGCAGCGCAGGGCTGCAGAGGTGGGCAGCCTCCACGAGGAGAGGCTAGGGCTGCCCTGAGCTGGACACAGCCAGTTCTAAGTGGATCCACAATCACCCACCATAGGGCACAGCTGAGCCCCTCAGTGAAAAGATATTTCAGAAAGGGCAGAAAACACCACAAAGGCAGAAGAAGAGGAACAAAACAAGTGACAAACAGTGCAGTGAGCACTAGGGTCAGAGAAGGAAATGGGGAAGAAGTGCGCCAGGTGGCAGAGCAGAGACTCCCCTGCAGTCCATGGAGGAGATGGATAGTCCTGAAGGAACTGTGACCTGTGGAGCACCCATACTGAGCATATTTTTCCTTGAAGGACAGCAGCACATGGGGAACTCACATCAGAGCAGGGGAAACGTGTGAGAAGGCAGGAGAAGTCAGGTAGTGTCAAACACTACCATAAGAAAGAACATCACCAGTACATTATGACAGTTCAGGAACAGTTATAGGTGTCAATACTTAACAGATTACGTTGATCTTGCTTCAGCTGATAGATACTGTGTCTGGTCTTCCACTAACCCTGGATAAAATCATTCCCTGAATGATGTGGTCTGCTTGAAGCTAGCATCTATGTTCACCACCACCCTCTCTCTAGCACCCTTCCACATACACTGTGATGACAGCACACGAAGAGTAAGCACAGCACAGCCAGCTTTAGATGGGTGTGGGGAAGGGTGATGTCCTGTACCATGTTAAATGAGATCAGGACAAAAAAAAAAAACATTAACTAACACTCAGACATGACTGCAGGCTCAAGTAATTATGGCATATTGAAGACTGAGCCTAGCTTCTCCAGTCAAAACAGATATCCATGCAAGAATATCATCCTGAACCCAGATACTAACAGAGATGCAGAAAAAAGACTAGAGCAACTCCCATATGAGGAAAGGCTGAGAGAGCTGGGTGTGTTTAGCTTGGAGGAGACTGAAGGGGCATCTCCTTAATGCTTATAAATATCTTAAGACCAGGTGTCAGGAGGATGAGACCAGACTCTTCTTGGTTGTGCCCAGCTAAATGATAAGGGGCAGTGGTCACAAACTGGAACACAGGAGATTCAACCTAAACATAAGGAAAAACATCTTTACTGAGAGGGTACCAGAGCACTGGAACAGGCTGCCCCTCTTGGGGGGTTGTGGTGTCTTCTTCTCTGGAGACATTCAAAACCCTTCTGGACATGTTCCTGTGTGACCTACTCTAGGTGATCCTGCTTTAGCAGGGGGCTTGGACTGGATGGTCTTCACTGGTCCCTTCCAACCTCTACCATTCTGTGATAAATAATTAATTACATTGTGCCTTGCAGCTACCAGCTTCCAAATACTGCACCCTAACACCCTTCTGCTGGACGACACATAAGCAACAGACAACACTTCTGCTAGCTGTACTATGGAAAGTGGAATGACTTCACTTTATTAGTTATCAGCACTTCTGCAAGTACAATTCTCATCCATATCTTATGGATGAGCTTCCACTTCCATCAAGGAGTCTCTCATAGATCCCACATAATATCCACAGAGCCCACATAGCATCCCAGTGGCGTGACAGGGAAGACATGGTTGTTCACCAGCAAAAGCTGCCCACATGGCCTGAATATCTTGGCAGATTCTCTGTTCTTTACAGGTTGACAAGCTCCTGCGAGAAGAAACCTAAAAAGATGGGTTGTGCTGGAGCTGCTAGAGGTTACAGGAAGAAAGAAACAAGCTGCACAGCAGATTTGTTTCAGAACTTCAGAGGGAAAACATAATGAAGTTGCACCCAAAGAGAGGCTTTTCCTTCTATCCTAACATATCAGGTACTGCTGATCTAGTTTAACAGCATTTTCATATCCTAGAAATGCTTTAGGCTCATTTTAGCCAAATAGGTGTACCAACAGTGAGATCTCAAGTTTTACACAATTTTCATCTAAATCAAAAATCAAATTACAAAAATTAGAACACAAAAATTATAACCCTACTTCACAAAGCTATGCAGAACAGTTGAGTTATTTAATAGCTCAAAGGACACATTTTCAGTCACTTTCAGCTATGAGGTCACTGAAATTTTTTTAGCAGAGCTGCCTTCAGGCAAATGAAAATCAAACCCTTTTTAAAACATCTGATCTTCACTCAGTTGACTCATGTGGAAAAATTTATATTTAGTATTGGCATAGGAGGACAGTGATCTGGTACTTCAAGTGTGTTGTTAATGCTCTCTGGAGGTGTAGTTGCTGTTGTAAGAAGAAAGCACAATGCTAGCGAGCAATACACAAGAAAAAACAGTTTTGTAAACAGTTGACAGGTTTGAGATTCTGTGAAATATGGGCTTTTTCCTTTGAAAGGTATTTGAAAAAGAAAAAATACAAAGGCTTACACCTGTGCCAAATTCCACAGTGGTTCTGAGGTGTTCCCCAAGCACTAAGAGTTGAACCTAGACAATGATTTGCTCAAACCACACTGATTTATTGATAGCAATCTCAAAAAAGGAAATATAAAACTAAGCCATCCCCATTCACTCTACAAGAAGCAAAGATTTTTTTCTTGCCCTATTTAACAGCTACAATGACCTCAATACAAAATTTCTATTACTTATACACAGAAATTTCTGATACACAGTTCAGAGTTAAAAGTCGAAAACAGGCAAGTGGGATATTTGAGAAAACAGTCACTGTAAAAACAACAAAAATATTAATGCAAACTAGCAAGAGCTAGCATTGAGTTTTTTGTTACTATTCTTACACATTGAATTTGGATTCTGTTTCTCCATACTGCTAAGAGCTTACCTTCCAGTTTTGGCTTAAAATTTGGGTAATAGATTTTTTTTTGAGCATGTTGGAAGGAATAAATGTAGTTAAATTGATGTAAAGAGACATTAGTCTCTCTGTAACTAAGATTGAAGCAAGCAATTATAAATCTAATTTTTGGACTAACAAATCCAGTTTACAAAAATGAAACCAATGCTTTTGAGACATTTTTTCCCATGTGCTTTTTCCATCAGTCACTGGCAATTTTGCTATTGACTTCAGTGGAAACAGAAGCAAGCCATATACCATGGTAGAATATTCTTAGGAAACAAGAGAAAAATCTAAAAACGCATTCAAAAGCTATGATGTTGGGGTTTGGGTGTGTGGGTGGGCTGTCCCTAGTAATTGTGCATTTGTTCTGATACTATTTACCGACAAAGACCAAAACATCTGACTCGTTGTAGGAGGCCAATTTTATCTTCCCTTTACTTCACAGCAAATGTCTTTAGCCTGAAAGTATTTTAATATATTTCCGTGGGACAACTCAAAAGCAATGGCATTATCTGGCATCAACAAGGGTAAGTGTATTGGCCATTGGTAACTTATTTTTTAAGTAAGGTGATGAATATAGTGATGTATATAGAAAGGTGCTCTACCCAAAGCCAAGGAGAGAGCAAGTCTTGTAAGCAGAACATGCAGTGAGGTCTTCTAACTCTGATGCATAAGCAAAAATACCATGTGCCATGATTCTAACACCCTCCAGATGAGGCAAAACATCTATATCTAATCTTATTCATAAAGGAATACAAAATTACTGTACAGGAACTAAAAAAAAATCAATTAAGAAATATACTAAAGATTAATAAATTGTTTATTCTTTCTGAAACATATGGTATGAACTATTTTTTTTATAAATGAGAACTATTCCACCGCATCCCGACAGTTCATCCCTACTATATTTATTTTTTAAGCTAGCCTCTGAATTCAAGGTAGGGTTTTCCCAATAATGTTTTTATGCTTCATCTCAATTTTTACAGAAGAAAAAAATTATCAAAATAAATGACCAATCCAGTACCAAGTAGTAGCTTGATTATTTTTTATATCAGTGTTACACTAAACAGTTTGAAAGACAAGAATTTCTCTTCACCTTCTATCCCAGGTTACGATAATATGTTTGATTCAACACCTCTTTAAAGTACCTCCAGGGTATTCTGTAGACTGGGCTATTCAGTAGTATAAAAATACTGAAGAAGACACGGACTCCATGTGAAAATTCATTACTCTTCATTTTCTTCACTGAACAAACTACCTTGTATCTGGAGTTGCATAGATTGTCATTATTTGAAATCTTCAGTTTAGAATTGAATATTTTTATGT